AATCACAGTTTGCAGGTTTTCACAATCATAAATGTACTAGTTTTATTTTTGTCAAGGAGAAGATATTTACATCTACTCATTCCGCCCAAGTTTTTTTTTGGCTAGATTTTGAGTCATGTAAAAAATTACTTATATGATAATTGATAATAAGATAATGACATGTACTCTATTCAACCACTAATCAATATGATTATCTCTACCATCTTTCCATTTAATTATTGCTTTTTATCATTATCCATTTCATTACATTTTTGACAGGCAGAGGAGGAAACAGGGTGCAGATAGTAGTATGAAGGATGGTAGCTGAATGATAAGACTACATCCAGAAAATGCAGAGGTCAACTAAGTTTATTAGACAACAGAGTAATACAGTGGGACAAGCAGAATACCTGCTTCTGTCCTGCTTTCTTAAATTTCACTCTCACCAAAAACATCATGCTCAACCCTAGACAGGAAAAGAATGTGTGAGCACACGTCACAGCTTAAGGCTCTGGTTTTGAAATGTTAGCTGGAGAAGCCTATCTTATTATATTTAAGTAGTATTACAGTAATATCTATTTCTCAGGTTCTGATTTTGAAGCATTAGCAAGCATGAATGAAAGCTGATGAAGAGTTCCTCTTCTTCCCTGCGATCAACCCGGAACCACTCTGATGCTTCTGAGTATGTGAAGTGCAAGGCTGACTTGGTAAAGATGCGCGGTCATGCCCGGACTGGAATGTCCAGTCCAATGGTCTCAGGAGCGAGACTTGGAGACCCAGGGTGCAGAGTCCAGCAGAGGCAGGGGTGGGAACTTAGGTAAAAACAGATGTAGGGCCTCTTCAGTGGGACAAGTGGCGGGTTGTGGACTTGGATAAGGTAAGTCAGTGCCACGGCAGAGAGATAAGGAGTGGCCTCCAAGGGCAGTCTAGCCCAGTGTGTGGGGAGAAGGAGACAGCACAGGTCCCACAGCTGGAGTTACTCCCGCTCTGCAAACGGTTCACGAGGACTGCGCATGCGTGCCCAGGGGCTTAGTGCCTTTCTTGCAGGCTGCCCTGAATCTCAGAGAGGCCTGGCCCTTAGCATGAGCAAGGGATACTGACTTGGCATGAGCATGGATCTTGACTGTAATGTGGACAATTCAATATTTTATAAATATTTTTAAAAATTTAATTGGAATATAATAATTGTAAATATTCATCAGACAGCGCGATGTTTCAATGCACGCACACACTATGTAACTCTCAGATCAGGGTAACTGGTATATCTACCACTTCAAACATTTATATTTCTTTGTGTTGGAAACATTCAAAGGATAACCCGGTATTTTAAAATCCCTGAAGTATAACAGAAAAGCTAAATTCCTAGGACAGTAGTAAAAAGAACATAATATTTTGCCAAAAGAGGATACAAGTGAATAAATGATAACCGTGATTTTTTTGGACTATTTGAAATGTGCAGAGGACAAACCAGAAGATGACGGGTCCTACCAACCTATCAGGATCATAAGTACTCTCTGCCCTCTTGGGATGGAGTTATTTTGAATTAATTTGTATGGACAGAGACATAAAAAGAAAGCAAAGGAATTTGTTTAGGAAGATTAAAACATAATTTTAAAAAAATTCCTTTATATTTTCCAGTTGTGCCCAGAAAAGGAAATCAGATACCTGATCTTTATCATCCTTTCCCCGAGGGTCCACAGCTATGTCAAAAGGACAAAGCCCACTTCAGTATCCAGTGTCCAGAGCCTGGAAGGCAGGGAAGCCGTTAAAAATCATATGGGGAAAGTTCATTATGTCTTGTTAAAAACAGGATACGGGGGCCGGGGATTTAGCTCAGTGGTTCCAGAGCCTGCCTCGAAAGCCCAAGGTAGCAAGTTTGATCCCCAGTACCCAAAACAAAACAAACAAACAAACAAACAAACCCAGCATACTGTGATTCAACTTTGGAGGAATGTTTAAAAAATAAATTCATTAATTATTTCCAATAGGAACCAAAAATCTAACAACAATCATCTCTGAATTATGGGAATACTACTGGTGTTTCTATTCTTTGCTCTGTACTTTTTTTTTCATTTTTCAAGTTTTACTACTGTATTAATTTTCCAATCAGAAAAGTCATTATTTTATAAGAGTTCAAGTGTGCTGTTTTAGACACTGTGGTATTGATAAAGTTAGTCAGCAAAGTGCCTTCTATTTCAGGTTGCTGACAGGGGATGGTCCTAAATGTTCCCTTTGGGATACCATTTTCAGGGGGGAGTAACTAAGGGGGTTCTAAATTTAGTAGGATGAGAGGACCCCAGCTTGTAGCATTTTTCTCTCCTTTGAAAGGACCCATCACCAACAGAGAGGGCACCATGGCTGGGATAACCAGTGGGGAAAGGAACCAAGTGTTTGGTCACATCTTGAGATCTGGTGGGTGCTATTATAATTTGGGTCTTTGTAAACTACAAATTTTTACATGGAAAGGGCCAGGTGGTAAATCTTTTAGGCTTTTCAGGCCACGTGATCTCTCTCACAAGTACTCAACTTTGATGCCGAGAAGTAGCTTGGACCATACACAATGGACAAGTGTGGCTGTGTTCTAATAAAACTTTATCTACAAAGAAAGCAGTTTGCCAAACCCAGAAGAACTCCAGTTTCCTAACATAGTTGAAGCAGTGGAAGTGATCAGTACAAGCCAAGTCAGTTCCTTAAACAGATGGGTCGTTACAGAAGGCTGCCTCTCAAGTACCTGTCATTCTGAGGGTGGACCACTGGTAACTCTTTACACAAAAGAAGGTGCATTATCGTGCTTATGTTTTTGGCCATTGAAGTTGTTGATCTTTATCCCCAAGTGTCTTAAGTTTGGAAATGAGTCTTTTTAGTTGTTCTTGTTTTTTGTTTGTTGAAGACAGGGTTTTGTTTATGTAGTTCAGGCCAATCTTAAACTTAGCAAGTAACCCAGGATGGCCATGAACTCTCAAGCCTGTCTGAAAAGTGTATCGAAACAAAAAGCTCAAGATAAGGTAAATCAAGGTATAGGAAAGCTAGCAGTGTGCACTGAAACAAGCAAAACAATTATGACTAAAGAATCTTTGTAAATATGATATAACAGTGACTGAATATTAAACATTTAAGCAAAACATATGATGGAAAAAAAGTGTCGATAACTTTTTAGGGGGGCTTACCAGGAATTGAACCCAAAGCTTTTGCACTGAAATGCATCTACAGCCCATTTTAACTTTTTATTTTGAGACAGGGTCTTGCTAAATCACTAAGTTGCTCAGACTGGGCTCAAACTTGTGATCCTCTGGCTTCAGCCTCCTCAGTACTGGAATTATAAGCATGCAACACCGCACCTGGTTCTGAGTCTGCATTTTAAATTTCACCCACCTAACTCATACAGTGATATATAAATAGAAGGTAATTCATATAGTGATATATAAATAAATTCACCCTTGCTGAATATTGAATGAATGAACGTCTTCTTTTACCAAACTGGTGTAAAATGTAGTCCTTGAGTGTCACCTCCTGTGAACCACTTCAGGCAGACTTCACCTTGAATGAGACATACTCTGACCCTGGTATTGAGTGAATGATCTAAACAAGGTAGTTTAGAAGAAGTGTCAAGATGCCAGATCACATGGAAAGTGTCTGAGACTCAGGTCTCTGCTATTCTCCTCTTCCAGCATAGCCAAATGGCCAAACTATAAGGTAGCATAGTGTCTGGTCCACAAATACACTGTACTTTCTAGAGGAATTTGATACTGTCTAGGGCAGGAACTTTCTAGTTCTTTCTAGAAGATGTCAGGTAGGCCTGGCTAAAGCTGTCACTGTTTCTCCTCAGTGACTGTTTTCAAGTCGATAAGAGTGTAGGAGTCCTTAGGTCTTCTTTCTTTTTTGTTTTTGTTTTTGATACAGGGTCTTACTATGTAGTTCAGGCTGGCCTTGAACTCACTATGAAGCCCATGCTGGCCTCAAACTTGTAGCTATCGTCCTGCCTCAGTCTGCAAAGTGCTGGGATTACAGACATGTCTACCATGACCAGCCTCCTTAGGTCTTCATGATGCCACTCTGGAACCTCCATACCCCTTGCACTCCCTTGGCTCAGTTAAGCCAGCAAAGGGGTCACCTTATCAAGAAACTCTCTCCTCACCAACTCCACAAATGTAAGACATCATGAGGCAGAAATTAACAGGTGAATCCCAGAAGCTTCTCCATAAAAGAGGGTCCCCTCAACAAGCCCTGACGGAACCTACAGCCCCATCTCTGTGGTTACATCTTATTTACATCAAAACATTCACTACCAAGGGAGGGGAATTTAGAACTGTATCATCCCAACTGAAAGATTCTGAGGTAAAAGCCAGGTCTGAAGATGGATTTTAAGCAGTGATAATAAACAAAGTACTTGGCTAAAATTTAGGAAGACAGGGGTGGGGATGTAGCTCAGTGGCACCTTGCCCACCTGCCAAGTGCAAGGTCCTGAGTTCAATCCCCAGTATCAAAAATAAAAATAAAATAAAATTTAGGAAGAGTCAGAAAGCCTCCTGAAGTAAATATCTTGCATGGGTTCATCTGACCTTCAAGTTGGGTATGTGTGAATGCAACGTAAGTGTATATAAGCACAGAACAGAAAACATATACAGCATGCACACATATCTAATAATATTTACTTTTCTAAGTGAATATTAATAGTCATTAAGAAGCTGTGAAAAACCCAGTGGTCAGAAACCAAATCCTGGTGCTCTGAATTCCCTGCCATGCACTCGATTCCAGTGAGAATCACTAAGGTCATAGAGATTTCTGCAGAGAGGCCCGTGGAAAGTACATACAAATGAGGAAAAAGAAAAGCTGGAGCACAAAGTAATTCCAGGGAGAGGTCCCAGGGAAAAAAAACCCTCAGAAGTCAAAGGCCAGAGCACGTCTGATGTCCCAGGCATGGATCCTGCCACTGGCCCTGGCCGTACAAGTGACCACAAGAGGTATGACTCTCACTCAGCTCAGGAGAGGAGCACAGCACAGAGCGAGGGAGGGCTACTCACGCTGTCGTTGCTTCCTTTGTTGTCCTCATACTTGGTTTCTATATGGATGGAGAATTTTGGCAGAAAGGAACACTATGGAGGAAAAGAAAACTTTCATTAGCACATCATTTTCCCTCTTCACATATTCAGTGTGGCCTCTAGCTTATACTTGGTCAATATCCAAAGTCAGATAAGAAAAAACCACCTTTGGGAGTTTGAACACAGGTTCTTCCAGAAGTAAAGCCTGAGACCATAACCAGAATGGAGGCAAGTGGCTCATCTTAAGCCACTTCCAAAAGGAATACGTTCTGTCGGTCCTGCCACCAGCTTTAGAAAAACAAACCCCTGAAAGAGAGATCAATTCCAGGTCTGAGGGGAGCTTACCCTTGGGGAGCAACTGCCACTGCTGGGTACCCGGGGACTGTGTCTTAACTTTCATACACAGTTAGCGAGGAAGAACAGGAGAGTTTTACAATGAGAGATAATTAAAGTCAGATAAACCTAGCTGGCTTGCTTTTCTCCCCTCTCCGCCCCTTTCTTACTGAGGATTGATCCCCACCCTTTTTATTTTTTATTTGGAGACAGGGTCTAGCTAAGTTGCCCACGTTGGGCTCAAACTTATGATCCTTCTTCCTCTGCCTCACACAGTGTTATGATTACAGGTTTGTGCCATGGAGCTCAACTTGACCTGGCTCTTAATATGTGACTCTGGATAAGTCATTTAATTTTTCTGAGTCCCAGCATTATTATAACAGGAATAACATTATCTAAGAATGACACTGTGAGGGTTAAATATGATGATGTACACAAAAATACAGTGCTGAGGGGCTGGGCAAAGGTAGAGCATGCATACATAAGGACCTGAATCTAATCCTCAGAGCATATATATATTTCATTTGTTGAATGCCTACTCAATGCTCAGCACTATAGCAATCAGTATGAGGCTGCAGCTGAGTCTGACCAGAAAAGGTACCCCCTCTTTTTGGCTATACTGGGGACAGAAACCTGAAATGCAGTACCAATTGCGTGTCTCAGTCTTGTTGAGTCCCATTCTGTACGTCCAGTAGATCTGAAGAGTTAAGGCATCTCGAAAAGAGGATTTTGATGGCTACTGGTGTAACTACCCCGCTGCTGGCATGAGCTAGGCATTAACTTTCTCAGCTACCAGAGATAGGATTGAAGGCTAATGGATAAAATGACCCAACTACTCTACTGGGAGCAGCAGGTGTTAGGGAAATGAGACTTGGCTCGATCTGTTCACATTCCCTTTAGTATTTATCCAACACTCAGAACACATGCTCTCTATATCAGACATGCTCTGGGTGCTTGAACTTCTCACTCACATATTCCTTGCAACAACTCCAAGGGACAGGCACTATGACTATCATCTCTGCTTTCAAGGTGAGGAACAGAAGTAGAGAGAGGTTAGATAGAGCCCACAAACACACAACTCTGTCTTAGAGTCAGAACTCAAAGCCAGGCAGCCTGGTCCCAGTGTCATGCTCTTTATTACTCGGGTGGTTCTCAAAGAGAGCCCTTGGTCTAGCAGCAGCAGCATCACCAGAACTTGTTAGAAATGCAGATTCTCCAACCCCACCCCAGATCACGTGAAGCAGAAACCCTGGAGATGGAGCCCAGCAATCCATGTCACAAGCCCTCTAGGGTATGCTGATGCATGTTCAGTCCAAAAGTACCTCACCATACCACTCATGAGAAGGCAACAGAGAACTCATCACTAAGACCTCAAAGTCCACCCCCACCACCTCAAGGTGTCATCCCTACAAGGACCACACTCCCTTTCCTGCCCCGCTGAGACCCCAGGGGCACCTGTACAAGAAGGCAAAGGCCTTGGATTGGCTGTGGCTTACTGCCCTGGCTTTGCATGCCTGTGCGGATTCGGCATCCATCTGTCTTAATCTGCGTGAAGCAAGCAATCTGAACCGTGACTAAGGAAACGCGGAAACAATCAATCCCAGTAATTGCCTTTATGGAGAATGGGGCCCAGGATTATTCATTAACACCTTCCCGGCTGTCTCCTCTCCAGCCTCTCATTTGGTAACCGCTGGCCTCACACCCTGTTCCGGGAGTTCCGAGGAGGGGACTGCTCATCACCAATGGAGACCATGCAGGACTCGGAGCCCCCAGCAGAGCTTTGACTGATTCATGAACATGGGGAGAAGAGCTTGCAGCTCTAGAGACCCTTTTAAAAACAACAAACTTTTAGGGGCTGGGAATTTAGCTCAGTGGTTCTGCTACCTGCCTTGCAACCAAAAGGTCCCGAGTTCGATCCCCGGTATCAAAACAAAAACAAACAAACAAAAAACAAGCCTTTATGTAAATTAGTTTTCTACTTTTTAACCCGGAATTCATCTGAAGGTCAGCCGGATGAGTGTGAGCAAAAAGAGCAAAGAAGGGCATGAGTGGGCCCTGGGGCTCCAAGTAGAAAACTGCAAGGAGATTTTTTTTCACATTGAACCTCTAAACCACTTTACTGGGTCAAACAAATGAATTTTAGCATTTGGGTATTAAACCCAAATATGAAATGCAAAAGCCCCATGCAAATCAGCAGATGTTGGTATTTTTCAGTCAAAACCTTTGGTTATTTTCATATCAGAAGATGAGGTGAAAGCACCCGCTTCAGCAGGTCCTCAGGAGGACCCAAACCAAACTGCTGGGCAGCATTTTCTCCTCATGCAGGTGATTCGGGGCTGGTGAGCCCTTTGCTGTATCTGATGCCTGCAGCGTGCAGATGACTCAAGTTAAAATCAGAAGTCTCGGGCTCCAGGCATTTTCAGAGCTGTCCTTAAACCCTTTTCGGAGACATGTCCATCTTAGGATAAACTTGCTGGTCCTGTGCAGTTAGTGCTTCTACAAGTCCAGCCCACGAGTCCTAGCAAAGCTTCTCTTTCATCTCCCCATGGCTGTGCCTTACCCCTTAGTTATGCTCGTCCATTCCTTTGTCCAGCCCGGAGACTGGCTTTACATTTCCTTTCTGGCAGCTGATTATTTTGACTCAAAGTTTGAGGAGTGTGATAGAAACAGTTACAACTTTCCTTTCCTCCACTGTAAATAGGCTTATTTCTTTGTGCTTCTTGTTCTTTGTGAATCTGAGAGAAACATCACTACCTTTCCCCCACTCGAAGTACTATAATGAAAAGAGCTGACACACTGGAGTCAGCTGGACTCCAATCTGAGCAGATAGACTTGGGCAGATTATTTACCAAACATAGCCTCAGTTTCTCCATTTATAGAGTGGGGATGTTCCTCTACTCTGCAGGAGGGTTCAGAATACCAGTGAGGTCATCCAGGTAACCCCCACTGTAGGTGCACAGTAGAAAAATATTCATGATTCTTCTCTGGAATTTGTCTCATTGATTATCATTATTTCTTTGTTTTTACAGTGCTGGGAATTGAACCCAAAACCTCTCACATGCTATGCGAGCCATGTACCACTAAGCTACCTCCCTAGGCCTTCAGTGATTCTTTATATCTTCTCTCTCCCTCCTTCCACAGCCTAAAAGCACAATGAGAAGTTGACATCCCTAAAAGACAAACAAGCACAAAGTTCCTCAATGGTTTCTTCCTCTATCTATAATCACACCTATTTCTCTGTCTTTACAAAGAGCCACAGTAAGAGCATAGTCGGAGCTACCTGGCTCTACTTTTTTGCCTCTCACCGCTTTTCAAGCCCTGCAATTTGGCACAGAGATGACTGACTCTCAGAGTACTTCCAGACCAGCGTCACCTTCCCATCTGTCCTCTTTACACTGCTCAACGTGACCAAGCACAACCGCTGTCCCGAACAGCAGTTCTTTTTCAGCCTCTCTTCCCTCCCGCACCCTCCCCGTGTAAATGACCCCTTATCTTCTTGCTCCGAGCTTGCTCACTGGCTATCCGCATCATCTCATCTGGTCTGACTTTTTCATGACCTCCGCTCTCCCCCAGGCTTGCACTGAATTTGCAGTCTTCCTGTTTAATCCTCTCAGAGTGCTGAGATTCCACGCATGCACCGCCACACCCTGCTTTTCACTTTTTAAATAGGGTCTCCCTATACAGTAGACCAGGCTGGCCTTGAACTCATGAAATTCCCCTGGCTAACCTTGAGCTCGTGATCCTCCTGCTTCAGCTTCCCAGGTGCTGGGATTACAGAGTATACCGCCAAGCTCGGTTTTGCGATTGTGATTGTGGGTGTGGGTGTGTGCCTCACACGTGTGTGTAAGCCTCCAAAATCAACACCTCTAATTCTAACTTCTCCCCTCTCCAGCGGCCATAGGTCACCCTCACCAAGGGTCCTACATGTATACCCAACTTGTAAGGTTTGAACTGAACCCAAATATTCTCCCTCCCTGCATTAACTTCCTAGAGTTGTTATAACAAATTAACACAAACTTGATAGCTTGAAATAACATTAATTATCTCACAGTTCTGTAGGTCTGAAATCTAGGTGTTGCTGGGGCACACTCCCTCTGGAGCCTCTAGGGAAAGCACCTTCCTTGCGGTGTCCAGCTTCCGGTGACCTCGGGTGTTCCATGATTTGTGGCTGCATCACTCCAGTCACTGTCTCCTTCATGTTGCCTCTTCCTTCCGGGTGTGTCCATGCCTGCTTCCTTCTTATGGGGACCTCAGCCAGAGCATTTTGGGCCCCTTGAAATCTAGATCTACTCCCCAGTCCCGCCACCACTCCAGCTGCCGGGCTTTTTCCCACAATTTTCTCAGCCTCACACGTCCTTCCTAAATCTTTCTCAAAGACCATCTCCATTGCCACTTCTGACTGATTATCCCATGGGGCAGGCAGCATTCTGTCTGTCCCTTTGTCACGGGACACTTCTCCCTGGTCCTCATTACTGTGAGCCGTCTGTGTTTGGTGACCAACCAGATGATGACACTGCTCTTCTCATTTTCCAACAGGGGGCTCCTCCCCTACGCCCACTGCCATCAGGATCGGTGTCTTCAGCATCAGAGCATCTCCTTTAGTTTAAGTTTGCTCAGATAATGCTTTCTGTAATTAAAGTTTTTGCTACAGCTAGAAATACAGCATCTAACCGAGCCATTCGCAAATATCCAGGGAGAGAAGGGAGATCTCTTTTTCCAAC